GGTTCCTTCTAGAGTAACATGAAACACGAGACACACACTTGAAAAGTAAACCAAAGTGGTACAATTTAAGGGATTTTCTTATGGTTTCAGTTTTTTCCTGTTATAGAATGCAAAGCTTTGTGGTGAGTAAAATCCTTAAATATTTTATTTACCTAATCAAAGGTATTCAGCTCATTTGCTGAATTTAACTTAATGATTTTAGATTGTACAGTGTATTGAAAAGGAGAGAAACTTAATATTTTGAGTATTTCATTAGAGATAGTATGCAGTAAAATGATTTAACATGTGTGGTGATGAAATGTGTGGAAAAAAATTTCCCACTATTATACTGCTTTGTTTTTAAATAATCAGCTGGTATATTTCCATGAGAACTTGAAATGCAGACTTTAAAACTAAAAAACTGTAATTCTGCATCATAGTTTTATTTGATTGGGTAATTGCTTGCATATTTTGTAGGGAAATTTTCTTAGAACTGGGAATTGCTTATATGAAAGTACAATAATGTTAGTTGAGTAATCAAAATGATGATAATATGATAGGGTATTTTAGAGGATAAATTCTAAACTTCATTCTAAACACAGTTTTTTGTATTGAGGTTAAACCTGTGTGAATGGCTTTTGTACTTTGTTCCAACCCAGCTTCTTTGAAGCTATTATACAATGTTTACTATAATTCTGAAGTTGCTTAATGTATCTTCACAAATTTTGCTAGGCTTTTGGTAAACATTACAAGTATATTGTACACAAAAAATTAGATTTTTTAATAAAGTACTTTTTGCTGAAGATTTGTTTGTGAATTTACTGATTTAGTCTGGCTCAAACTCTGACTAGTTTAAGTGAACTCCTGCTTTTTGCTGTTGATAGACAAAGCTCTGTAGACATGCTTTTTTTTGTAAATGTAGCCCAAAATGTTTTAACTGTTTATTTTAGATATGAAATATTGGACAAAGCATTATCATGCACAAAATACAGAATGTGCTAAAACTGTTATAACTTGGCTGGCGTTATAAATAGGTGAATAAAATTGTTAGCTGCTTGGAGCTCTACAGTAACAATCACTCATAAACAATCTGAGGGAAACTGTCTAAAAATTCAAGCCAGAAAACAAAAAAACTTTTAGCAGTTTCTTCTAGGACACAAAATTCTCTTTTTTTATTGGTTACAAATATGATGTCTGTAAAAGAAAGACATGATATAGATAAATTCATTCAAAGCTATGACAAGATGAAAGGAACCTCATTGATAAGTGGCACAGATGTATTTATGTCTCACTAATACAAGAAGGTAGGAGGTTTAAATATTATATTATCACCTTTCAGAATCTGTAGTTTGAGGTTGTAATTGGTCGGCCTCTCTGACAGCAATAAAACGGAATGCACTATAATAGAATCAGAGGGGAGATGTACCATGTGATACACACAAAGTTAAAATGAAGAAATTAAATCTCAGGTAATATAAAACTTTGAATTATAAATTATGTTTTTATGCCAAGTTTATTGACATATACTAATGAAAAGGCTTAATTAAATTTTTAATGAAACTAAAAAGATGACACGCCCAACCGTACATATGATTAAAGGAAGTATAGGTACACTTATGTACTTACTTCAGGTAACTTCAAATGAATAATGAGAAACATCACTGGATAGTCACCATCTTTCTTTTAATGAGATATGATTTCTCTTGGGAGCATCAATGATAAATGATTTGGTCTTCAATTAACCAAAATCAGTGTTTGTGATTATTTCTGTTTATAATATTTTCAATTATCCAATAATGAAAATATTGTTATGATTTTTGTTATTTCTTTCGACTAATTCAAGTTTATTCATCTTAATCAATTAAAACGGTTAGAAAATAATCAACTAATGAAATTAGGAATTCTGATTGTTACTATTTATGGCTATTCCAACTATCCATGTGATTGAAATATTATCATTATGTTTGATTGTTGTTAAGCATAAAGCTACACATTGGGCTATCTTTGTTCTGCCCACAGCTAGTATCAAAACCAGTGTTCCCTCTAAGCTGGGTGTCTGCACATCCTCAGTAATGGTGAGGAGTCTCAACATGTTGATGGTCTTAATGACCCTGGCAGTCGGTAGGCGTAAAGCCCGAATAACCAACTAGTAGCATTGCAAAGCGGCTTAATGATTCAAAAGGGTCAATAGTCTAAAAATACTCCCTCCCACCAAAAAAAACAAAAAAACTGGTGGCACACAATGCCTTGATACTGGTACATGTGAAAAAATTTTAAATTCATTCATGGATTGAAAAAATTAGAGAGAACATTGATCAAAACCCAATTTTTATTGATAGAGGTGTTTTTGTTTTTTAGCCATCTTGTGAGAATAATTTATTAGTTGAATGTAATTGATTAATGAGCCCAACAATTAATTGATTGTCAAATTTCACTAATTACCCAACTCTAGTAGAGAATAATTCCAATATGGTCTTATCACACAAAGCTATCTTGATATTCTTTCTGCCCTCTAAGCATTACTAAAACACTTTCGTGCTCAGTGCATCAGTCTGTGTATCTCATCAATTTCGTACCATTTTTGAACATGTACATGTTCTGTGACTACTCCACAGCACTATTCTGCTGTTCCTGCTCAATCCTCACTTTCTTGATTGGTACAACAGTGTTTAGATGCGTGTTTTTTCGCATGTGGCTACCGTTTATGATTGTTTCTTTGCCATTTCAAATTTTTTTCAACTGTTTATTGTACAATGCACTCAATTGTTTCAAAATTTTTTTTTTCTGGTGTTTGTTTCTTGTTACCGAATTATAAGTGATCTTAGTATGAATTCATGATTCAATGTTTTGACTATAGAATTCCCATTACAGTCAAAAATGCTACTGGTACAACTTCCCAGGAATCAAATTTGACTTTATCTGCAGAGGAGGTACAGGACTTAATTTGCAGGAAGCTAGATTCATATGTCTGGCCATCAATTTTTTCTTTTTTTTAACTTGACAATGTTTATTAAGACTGTTTGGACTCTCTGGCACCTTCTTATTTTGGTCTGTCACACTCTACACCTCTTCAGGAGATTTTTTCACTTCCACTTTTTTTTACAGCTTGTTAATCAGGTCATCAATTTTGGTTTGGCTATATGTTTAAGACATGGGTTATTTTGCTAGTTTTCTTTTTCCTGCTCTCAACTTCCGTGCAGCCATGTCATTCACTCTGATGGAGGATTGTTCTTCTACTCCTTTCTTCATATTACTCCCAGTTCTCCCACTGGATCTGTGGTAAGGTTTTTAACTTGTACACTTCACACCTGGTGGATATACCTTGTGGTAGGCACGTCTTAGATTCCCTATACACACACAAGAGAATTGAGTATTTCATGTTGTTAATGCTCAGACTTTGGTAAGTAAGAGATTTGTTTCCTTTGTTGTCTAGGTGAATTTAGATGATTTGTAAGTTACATATTAATTATTACTTTGTTTTTCTAGGTAATTTTAGTCATTTTGCACTTTTGTTAATTTTACGTACTTTGTAGACCTGGTAAATTTGGAGTTTTTTTTTTGTGGTCGATATTAATAAGTACTTTAACTACGTATGTTTAGATAGTTTGTATGTTACATATCATTACTACTAGTAACATTTAAATCATTGTTCTGTTTGGACCATTTTTCTTTTGTCACTGTTAAGTATATGTCTTATAATCCTGTTCTTCCTCAGTGTATGACCCAAGTTTTTTTTTTTTTTACTTTGCTACAATTGTGATGTGTTAGTTTCTTTTCTGTTTGTAGCACTGAGCTTTGCTTTGGCTCCTTTTCCTAAATTATTGATACTAGGAACCAAATTTTCTCCTCTTAATCTACAATTCAGGGTTTGTACCCACAGTGCCCATGCCATTGATAGTTATTTATTGCTAGAAGATCAGCGTTCCAGTTCAGGGCCATACTGTTTGGACTAACCTTGGCTCTTTAAGTGTTTGTTTTTTGGGGGGGGGCGGTATGAACTCATACCCGACATATTTACTCGATGGGTCTTTGTACTCATCATTACATGGATTACTGGCTCCCTCCTACTCACTCTTCTCATTCCCAGTCCAGAGACCAACTCTTTTGCTGCTGCAAGAAGAAGCAAGGGAGGGATTCCTGCCAAACTTCGAAGTGATAGTTCGGTAGAGGAATATAGAGGGGGTCACATGCATCAGATGAGCATGTCATGCTTCTATTGGTGGTGAAGTGACACATGGTGATTTGCAAGAGAGTCATGTTGGAATCTTTCAATTCCAGTAGGGGAGCAGAAGTCTTGTGGTATGTGTAAAGAAAAAGTTCGCATATAGAGGGCAGCATTGAATGAGAATAGCTAATTTTATGAGTGAGGTAAGTATCTATTGGAGAGACATTTTCATTATAGAAAAATTATAATTTTCTAAAAGTAGTAATATAATAATAATGAATTGTTAACATATTTGTGATGGCCTAAATTTGTTAGAAGAATTATTTTTGTGATTTATAAAATTAATGATTTCATAGTCAGTGAAAGTGGATGTTTTTTACAAAATCAAAAATAATCAGAAAATGTAAACTTCTGATACGTTATATTACCTCTTCTCACATGTATAGCTGTTCTTGTTCAGTGCTGCCATCTATATGCAAACATTATTTTTGAATGCCGCAAGCATTGAACTCCACATGATCAATGTAGTTCAACAGCGTCTCACATGTAAATCAGTAAATCATCATGGGACAACTCTCCACCAATAGGAGTGCAACACACTCTCCTGACATGTGACTGCATCTATTCGATTCTACCAAATTATCACATCTCATTAGGCAGTGATCGAGTGTAGACGTTTTTTGCATTTTAATTTCATTTTTTCTTTACAAAGTGGATTTACTTGATTGATTTATTAGCTATAGTTAATTTTGTCTGTAGTAGTTAGATGTGATAACTTACCTTTGTTTATTGATCTTTTTTTTCTTCTCATTTTCACTTCTTCACAGTTTATTATGAATTCCGAATTTGTGTTTTACAAAATCTGTTTCTTCTTCGTTGGGGTATCACCTTCTGACTGTTGTTATCTTTCAAACTTTGATGTGACTGTGACGCTATCTTTTCTATATATATTTTTCCATCCAGGGACATGTCCCATATAGGATTTGGATCCTGCTCAGTTTTGAGTGTTACCTGTCAAGGTAAGCTTTCTGTCTCTCAAATCTGTACTTTGCGGCCACAATGCACACTGTTGAGATGGGGTGTTCCACAAGATTGCTAGTAGGTTTTTTCCTTGAAATATATTTGCTTCATTAATATGTCCGTTCCAGACTGTACTAATCCATGGACTTACATTGGTAAAGCAGAAGGGAATAGCTGCCTATCCCTGCTGTCCCTTTGGTTGAATAAATCAGGGGTGGTCTGCTTTTCAAATAAGGATTTTTGTGTTTGCTCATTGCAGTGTCTTTGGTGTTGACATTCCTCTGGACTTTCCACAATGTTTTATCTCCCTTGTTGTTCTCGTGGGGTCTGGGAATCCTTGCCACTTTCCATTTCTAAGCTACTGGGGTGGTAGGTCATGGAGAACAGTGGTGTTCTACTAGTTTAGATGGTGTGCGGTGGGTCCCAAAAGGTGAGGTTGCTTATATTTTATATATGCAATCCACCTCCATGCAGTGGGACCTGGAGGTTGCTATTGCACAACAACCTTTGTGCAGCCCTATCCAGATGGTGATGTTGCTTTGGGTTAGATCAATCACATTGCAGTTCATCCCTTGAATTGGGATCCCCACCTCTGTTCAGTGGGTCCAAGAGGGTGCAGTTGCTATATATTTCTAGAGGCAATCCACTTCTGTGCAGTGGGACTTGGAGGGTGGCATTGCACTCAGGCTTCTATGCAGTCCTATCTGTAGAATGATGTTGAATGGGGTAACAGTTCTCCTCAGGGTGTTTTCACTGCCTGAGGCTGATGTTTTGCAGTGGGGTGCCAGTTTGATTGAATATGAGTTTGATGTGATCTATCACATTTGCACACCTCTTCCTACTGTCATTCAGATGTAGTGTTTCCAGATGTATGGTCTGTAGATTTGCACTCATGTGCCCATTTTTTAAATTGGTTTGCACAGTATACGCTTCCATTGTACTTACCTTGAGGGGAAAACAGTGTGGACCCTCCTTTTCTCAGGGATTAAGGATCTAATCCCCGTGCTGCTTGATATTGGACTGGAGTTGATTGGCCGTTTACGGTCCATCGTGCCCTAGCACCTTGGAGCACATCCATTTTAGCTTTCAATACGTTTCTGTCTGTAGATAGTTCTTCTACAGAATTGAGACTCTGGTAAACTGTGGTTTGCATTCCAACCCAACTGGTTTTCTCTCCTTTTTTTGGTTATGCTCCTCCAACTTTTCACCCGTGTATGCGACAAAAGTGATGTGGTCTCTCACATCTGTTACTCTCCCAAAGAGGATCACACTTCAGGGGTGTTTTTTGGATGATTTAAAAGGATACTTATTTCTATCTATCCCTCGCACTGGTCCCTTCACGTATTCATTGTAGAATTCTAGCTGTACTTATGAGAAGAGGTAATGTACTGTATTGGAAGTTATTATTTTCCTTTATTTAAAATAGATTTCTGATAGGTACTTACCCCTCTTACACTTTCCACCCTTTCTTGCCACTGAAAATTGGTGCTTTCTTTTCTGCCTAATTTCAAAGTGATAGTTCAGTATAATTAAATAGAGGGAGTCACATGCATCAGGAGGGTGTGTCATGCTCCTATTGGTGGAGGGTTGTCACATGATGATTTACATACGAGATGCAGTTGAACCACATTGATCATGGAGTACTTGGGAGTTCAAGGCTTGTGGCATGCAAAAAATGTTTGCATATAGAAGGCAGCACTGAAAGAAAACAGCTATACATGTGTGAGAGAAAGTAAGTACCTATCAAAAATATATTTTTAGTATAGGAATATAATAACTTTGAGAATGTATAAATTATGTTATCTTTTATAGATAGTATTAAGGATATATTTAAGTCATTCATAGCATTTTTCTATGTTTGTAGGTGTGAGCTGAATTGGCGTATATATATACTCAACAGTAAGCTAGTGTATCATGGCAGATACTAGGAGACGTGTTAAGCTCTATGCCCTTAATGCTGATCGACAGTGGGATGATCGGGGAACTGGTCATGTGTCCTCTTCATATGTTGATAAGTTGAAAGGCATGTCTCTGTTAGTTCGTGCAGAATCTGATGGTAAGTCTATTAATTAACACTTTTGTTTCTATAATTGGTGTTTTGGTTTTAATTCAAACTGTATTGCAGCTTACTATCTTGAAAATCTAGGTTTCGAGTTAGTTATGGTTAGATTAGGTAAAATAAATAATAAAAATGTTTCATGGGGCATACACGCAAGCAGCTCATGGGTAACGTAATTCAATTGTGTAATGTGAGCTGGAAGTTTCCCAACTGATTTACAACTTATAATGGCAAAAATAGTAGTTAGACACAGTTCAAAGTGCAGTCAAACAGTAATGAAACAATAAAATGTAATTATAAATAGATATATATACTGTTACAAGTTTAAGGATAAACATGTGTAATTTCATGTTACAATTTGAAGTCATTCTAGAAAAAAAAAGAGAGTAATTTAGATTGATTTCATTTGTTTTTGGTGGTTATGAGGTTGGTCAAATTAACCAATCTTATATAGAGTTAGGGTAGATAGAATATAAAGTTTTACTGAAAGCAAACATTTGAAATGTATTTAGGAGGTTTTAGAGATTACATAAATGAAATTTGAGATGAAGAAAATAATTTTCATCTTAACATGAAAATGACTTTGAACATGGACTGTTCAAAACAAATAATGTTGAAATACTCGATATATTTACAAAAAACCTTTAGTAAAAAATCATTATTTTTGTGTATAAAAGACTTCTAATGTTTACTAAAAGTCTGCCAAATTTTGTGAAGATATATACACTATATTAAAAGTTAGAAGTATCAAATCTCTAAAGGTTTTAAATGAGTACAAAGAGGTCACGTGGTCGGTCAAATTGTGAGAGTTAAAGTGATTAGCTGAGACACTATTTATTGAATTGAGGAATTTTATTCTACCTCTGGTTTTTTATTCCAACATTTCTATGTAATGATGAGTGATCTTTTATTCATTGTTTTGTGCACCTTCACTATAAAAAATTTTAAAATTGTAATTCTTAAAGGTTAAACAATATTGGTTATTTTTAAATATTAACAGTGGAAAACAGATTCATCTATATGTGAGTAATTATTATTTAAATTTTTTCCTTAGGATCTTTACTACTTGAATCAAAAATTCATCCAGATACTGCCTATCAAAAGCAACAGGTAAATGATCTGTCATTTATATATTTCTTCCTTCATTTGTAATATATGTTTAATAATAAAGGTTATGTATTTCCTTTGTAATCTTAGTATTTATTTGTCATTTTATGCCTTCAAAACCCCAGTTTGTAATTTTCACAGATTTAATACTGCACTGTTTACAAATGATTTCCAACAAAAGTTGATCTTCTGAGAGATAAGTAAAAATTCTGGTAAGTATGAAAATATTTTCCATATTATATGTGTTAAACCTTCCAAGGTGGTAAAATATAAAATTCCTTTGCCAGTATCTCATCTGGAAAGTTAAAGACCTTTAATCTGCAATAAAAGATGAAGAATAGCATTTCATGTATATAAGTGAATATTAGTGTCATTTAAGGCAATCTTTGTTTATATATATTCCTAAACCACTGTACTTCATGAGATGAGCAATTATTATGTACAGTTTCCAAAAAACATGTCATTAGGATTATTGGATACATCTAAAAGGAATATTGAACTGTACGTGGTATTTTTTAATCTATTTAATTCTTTATTCATTCTCTAGGAAACACTTATTGTATGGTCAGAAGGAGAAAATTATGATCTTGCCTTAAGTTTCCAGGAGAAAGCAGGCTGTGATGAAATCTGGGAGAAAATTTGTCAAGTGAGTATTAAGTGTTTTGTTATTTTAAGATATAGTAGACTGGTATTTGTTGTAAAATTAAATATCTAGAACTGATGGTTTTTTCCAAATGATCTTTTAGTCATTTTGGAAATTTTATTTTAGGTGTGAAACAGTTGATGTGTTTGAGCATCTGTTTGCTGTTCTGTTACTATTTTCACTGTTAAAAATTGTTCTTGAAGTATAATTGTGACAACTACATTGTTGGTGATGTATAAATTTAGGTAAGTGGATTTGATATTTAAGTGATAAAATGACTTTAGATCAATAAAATTAAAAATATTAAGGAAATAGAGATATTACTAAGTCAAAAGTAGTTTTACCAGTAGTTCTAGCTAAGTTGTGTCTTTATTAATCATTTGAAAGTAAAGGAGAGGTTTTAAGTTATTCAGGGGGATTTGATAATTCACACATTTTCTATTGTTTTCAAGTATTTTTAACATCAAGTATGCAAAACAGTGGAAGAGTAAAAATGTAAATTTCTTCATTGAAACTGACTGTTAATTTTTGAAGCTATTTAATCCTATCCAGATCAGTGAGCAATTTTTTGGTGTTGAAAGCGCACACCTGCTTATCAAATTTAAAAATTTCAATAAAATTGATAGTTCTAACTCTCTTTCAGTAGTTTCTAACTGAAAAAGATTTTAGAATTGATATTTTGTAACATTTATAGTGTAATTTACAAACAAATTTTTTTTAAATTCCATCTTTCATTTCTATGCAGCTCTGTGGAGTTTGTCCTATATATAACATATTTATTGATTTTTGTAAAGAATTTTTGTACCCATTTCATACTTATAGTTTATATTTGCTGACAAACTATCATCTGTTGAGAATATAATATTCATGTTGTTTCTCATGTTATTTTCCATCCCGGTTAGTTGTTTTATTACTACAGCTTTTTTTTTTGCCATCCTTTTATGATGTTGCAGCTTGTGGTCTAAACAAATTTTAATGAAGCTGAGCTTTACAAATAGCTATAAGCAACATTTCTTTATGGTAGGATAGTGTAGGTTAATATAAATTATTTATATCAATATAGTGGAGTAAAGCAGTAATTTATGGTTTGGTGGAAAAGTAATTAGAAGGAGCTTTTGCAGGGGTGAACAAAGGAATCTGATAGGAAGTTTAGAAGACTTAGTAACAAACCAGAGATATGGGAATTTTTTTATGTTTTCTTTATGTGTTATTTTCATTTCTGATCATTTTTTTGTGATCAGTTATATCTATTTGTGAGCTACATAAATTTTCTTCTGTGACAAGAATGTCGTTAATTAGCTCAGTTAGGTTTAACAAACATAGTAGACTATGGCAAAATATTCCACTGACTCAAATCTTGTTGAATACTTTTGTTACATTTTATTATATTCAAACAATACACACATACATATATATAAAAGAACTTACTGTTATTAAAAAGACTTTGCTTATTCGATATCAATTGATCTTAACCAAGAATAATGATACCTAGTTCTAACATAGGTAATGATGCATTTTTGACAGATGAATTCGTGATAAATGATAAATTGTTTTTTGTCTAGTTTAAAGCCAGAAGTAGTGACTACTGCAATTTACAAAACAAAGTATCAAAATAAATGTATTAATGAATATCAATCAAGTGGAATTGACTGGATATGTAAGATATAACTTTCTGGTCAACAATAAAAATATTGAAATTCTAAAATGAAAACTAGTATTTTTAATGTTTTTTAAAAATACTATTTCACAAAAAAATTTTAATTTTTTTAATGTAAAAAAAAGATAGGAATGCTATATGAAATAAAAAATATTAAACTACTTTTTGTTTACGTTATGCCAATTAGAATAGCATAAAATCTTAGCTAATAATCCATATTTTAATAGTATACAAGTTTTAAGTTCTTAATTCTACAAGGAAATATATAAAAAATCCAGAATTTCCACTAGTGCGACACACGTGACACATTTTGTCTTAGCATGTCATCATCACTAATGGCAGGGATAGCAGTTAGACATGGTTCAAAGGGCAATAAAACAATAAAATTTAATTTTAATAGATGTATAATGTTACGAACTTAGAACTACTTA